CACACACACACACACACACACACACACACACACATAGACACACTCTCGAGACACGCACACATATAAATATACAATATTTACACCCATCTACATATAACAAATTATATATATATATATATATATATATATATATATATATATATATATATATATATATACTGATAAAAGATCTTAAATAAAGCAGTAATTTATAAAATCTCCCGAATTTATAGCTTTAGATAGATTTTAAAGTGTGAACTTTAAATTGATTAATGCCAACAATTTGGTAGAATTCATACAATACTACAATGTTATATATATATATATATATATATATATATATATATATATATATATATATATATTTAGGAACGAGGTTTTCAGAAATGCAAATTTCATTGAAATTGTTTGCCCATTTTGCATTAATTAACTTCTTTATAAGACATTCAACGAGGCGGTATTGTTTGAGTTCATATTTATCTAAAACTGGAATAAAGCTAACAGCGCTGTTTCGGCGTAATGCCATCTTCAGAGCCTAAATATTGTTTAAACATATAATTTAATTAAAGTAAATGCCTAATGTAAAATGTGAAAATATAGAAAATAAAATATGTATTAAATTGTGAAATAAATTAACCTTGTTGTAAATATCATAATAACTAAAGTTTATGTAGATGTACATATATATATATATATATATATATATATATGTATATATGACAATAGCATTATTATGGTTATTGCGGTTGTTATTGTTGTTACTGTTGCTGTTGTGATGTTATTGCTGTTATTGTCATGGTTGTTGTTGTTGTTTTTGACATTAGCGTTATTATTCATTTGTTCAGACGGTTAGCACGTGATCAATGATAGACAGACGGCATAACGACATGTCGGCCATTTATTTACGTTTGCAAGCATCGATTAATGTCTTTCTGATGATCTGTCTATATGTACGCTTGCTTGTTTGTTTGGTTGGTTGGTTAGTTGATTGGTTGCTTGGTTGGCTGGCTGGCTGGTTGGTTGGCTGACTGGCTGGTTGGTTGGTTTGAGGATTGGTTGGTTGGCTTGTGGATTGGCTGGTTAAAAGGTTGGTTGGATGGCTGGCTGGTTGGTCGGATAGTTGGTTGGTTGGTTGATTGGCTTATTGGCTGGTTGGCTGGCTAATTTGGATGGTTTGTGGATTGGTTGGTTGGATGTCGTCTAGCTGCTTGTTCAGTGACGATGACGTCAACACAACAATTAAGCGATGGCTTTGAATTGAATACCAATTTCATATTGTCCCATCCTGATCTTTCTGCTTTATTATATTACTTTATTACTTTCTCTCTCTCTTTCTCTCTCCCTCTCTCACTATCTCTTTTTTTCTCTTTTTCTCTTTCTTTCTCTTTAGGTTTTTATCTGTATTTCTTTTTTCTTATTATTTCCATCTCCACCCCTCAATTTTCTCTCTACAATTTCCTCCACAAATTTTTTTTCTTGTTTGCGCATTTTTTGATTGCTTTCTATTTATTTCTGTTAATCGTTTTCTCTTTCTCTCCACTCTCTCTTTCCACTCTTTCTCTCTCTCTCTCTCTGTCTCTCTTTTCCCCATTACGTTATTAATGAGAATCACGTGATCAAGTGTGTATGTTGTGCACGGTGACGGTGGAAGCAGGTAGATTGCGGGTGCTGATGACTGACTGGCGACAATGATGGTGATGATGATGATGAATACGATATTAATACCCATACACACACAAACACATACACCACATATACACACAGACACACACATACAGATACATACACACACAGACACACACATATAGATACATACACACACAGATACGCACATACATACACATACAGATACACATACGTTCATACACACAAATATGACATTGAAGACGATTCAAATTAGTTGTCATGTTTCATTTTTGTCAGCAGATAGATGTACGTGCACTAACAGCACACGCACAAACAAATAGACACACACACAAACAAACAAACACAAACGTACGTTATTATCATTATTATTATTACATTTATTTTTTATCATTATACAAA